AATACGCATCTTGATCTATCGAGGCACTTACTCCTGAATAATAATTCAAAAATTCATCTTTCGTAATCTGAAATATAACGGGTGAAGGGTGCAGTCAGAAAACATTCAGGAAAACTTTCTAGCCAAAATAAAATACGAGCGTTAGAAGGCATTCACTGGCATTCTAAAGGTGCCCCATCACCATGGCGATCACCAGTTGTGTATGGTTTTGAATAAAAATAACAGTCATAAGTTTTTGAATGTAATTCTCAAATAACTGAGTTGTATTCTGATATGAAGACCACATTCATTATTTACACATACAACTAGTAATAGCAACCATACACAATTAGTAATCACTATGGTGATAGGGCACCTTCAAACATTCACTAGTATTTAATGGCATTTAGAGATTGCAAGCATAGTTTTAACAATTTGATAAAAAATAATGTAAGATTTATGTAAAAGTGGAAGTCTAAAAACTAAAAATAGAATCAAGTTGCACAGACAGACAATTAATATTGTAGAGAAAGTTTTGTTACTGTGATTAAAATATTATAGATTATAAGCAAGCACTAGCAATATAGACTGGCTCAGTTTTCTCAAAATATCTTATAATCAATGTTTGTTGCAACTGAGGTATTTCTCAATATAAAATAAAACATTTTTACATTCTACCCAAGACAGACAAATACCATCCAGGGTTAAAATTTTGTCAGGACAGCATCATTGCCTTGATCCTACTCTTTTTCAATTTCATATATCAACAGTTTTTCGTACATTCAGTGTATAGTACACTGTAAGATTCATTGAGAAACAATGGCCTGATTTCTGTCTATCAAGCTTTAGGAATGTAGCAAAGATATCAAGTGGTCAATATTCATGGCAGACATGCTGTTATCTTTTATCTTTTCTATTTTTGATGAGTTTCTAGGCATGCAGAGATATGGTTAGTGAATTAGTAACAAACATAAACAAACGCTTGATTTTAGGAACCACAAAAATTGAATAGGAAATCAGATTA